AGACAAACTATTATTTGATTCAGAGCAAAACCTTGCTCCAGCCAACATTCCGTTCGAGCGCTGCACTGAAATCGTTGTCGAACATGCTATCATTGATAATAATGCAACAATTCATTTCCCTTCAAAAGAGCAGAAGGAAACAGCAGAAGAGTTGGTCAGTTTTTCCGAGAACTTCAATTAATAATGATAAGAAGAGTCTATATTTCGTAGAAGTCGTACCGCTCGCGAACTCGTAGAATGATTCTTTCGATGAGGTGTGCAATGGACAGAGAGGAGTTTGCGCAAATGATGCTCAGTGCAGGTAAAAGAACAGCATTTGTTATGCAGTTGAGACAAATCTGCTCTTTCAGCAGCATATTTAATGAATATAGCTGAACAAAGCATGAGAATAACCTTTGACAGAGACAGAGGTTAGGCGGCCCCCTGAAGAAAATCAGACAAAACGAATTCGAAATCTTAGGTTTCAAAGTTTGTTTGCTGATTAGACAACAGACGAGATTTTAAGTGAAAGGAATTCTGAACATTTATGTAGAAGATTCAAAACTTTGAAATGAGCTTCGAAAACCAGTTTAAGAATAGACTTTTTGAATTTTTTGGACCAGTTTGGTGAAATTTCCTAGAACTTACATTGCAACTCTAAATTGGTAGTACTTAATAGTAGAGTAGTTCCAAATTTTTGTCTACTAATTTGATTATGTGAATTATAGAGCATATTGTAGAAAAGTTCGCTAAGTTTTCTATGATATTGCCATAATTTCGTATTTCTAGATCTTTATTTTAGCGAAACGGCTGAAGTTGGCTGGTTCCATAAGATCTTTCATCGATCGTCTTGCTTTCAACGGAGTTGAATTAAGATGTGCACATCTTGTTTCCAAAGCTACAAAACTGCAGTTTGCTCACTTTTTGCGCCTTCTCAACAAGGAGATGAAAAAGAACGCCACAGGAGAGTGCGGAAACACTGTGAGCCTTAGGTAAATTCCTAAAGTCCACTCTGTATATTTTATTATCTTTGAAGTTAGCCTATTTGATGGAAGTTGCAGACTCTCCGCATATCATGAAAATCTGCGAACAGCGTATGATGTCATGGTACTGAACACGCTCCACCATATCGTGCTCGAACCATTCACCGTGCCACTTCTTCCCGATGCAGCCTTTGCTCATTCGCCACTATTTACGGTGGATGTTGACGACGCGAAAACTACGTCCATCGTATGCTTTACTCAGTCCCAAAACAGTACTGACAGTTTCTTAAAAGATCCTGACTCGCTTACTAGGAGAGAATATTAGGAAAAATTGGAGAATGAATAAGGCAGGATCTGTAGAGAAGAAACACTTACAGATATCCTATTGCAAAAAGCACATAATCCGCTCATCTACTTCGACCTCAAACTGTCGAAAAACGAGGGATTTGCGAACTACGTCCCTGAGTCTCATAAATATGTGGGTTTCTGTTTCAGGACTCCACTGTACGCAACTGGGAAGAATCAGGATTAATGCGTTCAAAGATCCTTCTGCAAGTTCCCTCGTATGGTATGGAGCAGCTGTTGTTGAACAGCTCAGACCATGGAGTCGGAAAGCCAACAGAAAGGGAGTACGCGATCATCGGACAAGCAGAGGTAGTAACCAGACAACAAATTGGTGTAAATTCTTTCTAATTAAAAACAACCTTGCAAGATGAAGATGCAAGGTAATTTCTTTGAGGAGTTGCACGGAATTTTAGCGACGAATCTTCCACAATCCAAAAAAAGTTCGGCCTGCTAAACAATCGTAGCAAAAGCAAAAATTGTATACGTGTATTTAATTAATTGAATAATTAACTAATCATGACGGTCACAGAAAATTTTCTCGAAGGTGCGCCAGAGGAGAATCAAAAACAATGCGCAGCCTGAGCAGGGGGAGGGGAGGGAGGCCACGCTTCTTTCTGTTTTGAGCTTTGTAAATTTTTCTGATATGAACTACCTCTCGCAAAATTATTCTTTTGGCGAATTATGAATAGAAGATCATGTTATCCCATTTACACAGGGTCTGGTGTGGAGTTAAACCCTCCCATACCTTGTTATGCGATTTTCCTCTCTACGCACGTGTTCGTAGTAGCGCAGACACCTTTCCTGCAATGTCGGACAATTGGAGAAATCTTTACTTGCAATTTGTGTGGTGTTAAAGATGTGGTTTATTATCTGAGACTAAGTCCATCGCGGCATCCTCGTCTTTAAACGCTAAGCTTGCATTCTTCTTTCCGAATATTTGCTTAACATTCACTGCCATAGAGTGC